TACTCTTTTTTTTTTTTTGTCAATCCTGAACACAAAGAGCAAATGTCTCCTTTCAGGGAGAATGACCTTTCGAGTGCACCAGGAGAAGGAGAGAAGGAGGCAGAATAGAGGCAGTGAGAGGGGAGCCACACAAATCCTGCCCTGCCTCTCAAAGCTGTGCTGGGCTGGACCAGAGGCAGCAGAGCTCTTAGAAACACAGCTGCACCCACACCAGTGACAGCACAAGAGCTGCCTGGGCTCCTTCAATAGACCTATTATTCCTTGGAAAAATCCATTTATTGGAAATCGGAGCTGTTTACAGAAAAAAAAAAAAAATCAGTTTTACTAAATCCTTTCCTGCCTTTTTTTTTTTTTAAGAGAATTGACATAATTTTTAAGTTCTCACTTATTTTTTCTCCAGATTGAAACAAGTTCTCTTATAGCATTCCCAATAATTAGAATTAAGCTGAAATGCCAAAATGGTTGAAAAGAAGAAAAGAAAATTCCACAGACATGTTCCTATTGTTGCCCTAACCAGAATGTAGCTTTGTAAAAACTCAAGTTTATGTCTGAATATTTTTCTTGGGACACGCAGACCTATTTCAAGCAGCTCCATGTCATGCTGTTTCTTGTAGTAATTTTGTAGGACATGAACACTGATATTAAGGGTAAAGTAACTCTATTTTGCACCTTCCTCTGATTTCCTTTTCCTTCTTTGATGTTCACCTCCTACTAGAACATTTTCCCTGATGCCATTCTTGGGTTGAAAGCAGCCTGATTCACATCTCATGCCAATTACTGTGACATTGTCAGAACTAAACCAGTTTACACCACCTGAGCAATATGATTATTTAGCAGTGGTATCAGTCCTCTGCCTCCTCCTTCAAGATTTCTGCCACAGGCTTTGAAGGAAAGCTGATTCCTTTCCTCGCCATCAGGAAAAAAAGCATAAGCAACTTTATTACCTCCTATATTAGTTAAAAATCAGAGAAAAAATCAAATTGTACTGAAAATTTGTAGATTTCCTGTATTTTATTCATGATTCTAAAGAAGTGAACCATATTCCTTCTGGACTACATTCTCCCACCCCACCACAGGGGACATTTATTAGGGACAAAGCCTCTTTTTATCAGTTTCCCACCCTGGCTGAACTTCCCTGCATTGCCGCTCCATTTACTAATCCAGACCCACAGAGGGAACTGAAATAAAAAATCTTTATAAACTGATTCACTTGAGCCCCTCCACGGGACTGCAGTGACACATCTGCAGGCGGAGCAGTGTGGAAAAAGGGAACAACTGGCTGGAGAAAGGTGGGAGATTCTTAATTTTCCTTTGCTGCCAGGGAAATTGTAATGCAGAGCCATCCTTTCCTTGCCTTTCTGCTTTCTTGTTCACCTCTGGGCAAGGACCGAGTTTGCAAAAATGGAAATAATTGACATATGTTAGAAACATAAACAAAAACAAAAATGACAATTAGGGGGAATGAGAAGGTGGATTAGAATTTTTTGCCTAGGTCTGCTCTCATTCCGGATTCAGCAGCAGGCTCAGGGATCTGGGTTCAGTTTTGTTTGTGCATTTGCTTGTTCAGATTTTTTTTTGTGTTTTGTTTCATTTCACCTAATAAATACAGACATAGAATGATATGAATCTTCACAGATTTCAGGATATAACTTTGGCCATTTGATCAAGAACTCATCTGAATTTGAACCCAAGTAAGAGGATTTTTTTTGCCCTTGTAATAACTATGTTAAAAATGTAAAAAAAATCCCCCAAATTCAAATTCATAGTGGTGCTCTTCTTCCTTTTTAAAATACAGGGCTGTAAATTCATCTAATTTGAGGCCTAATGTGTGACAAGATTCACACACAGTGATAATATCTTCTATTAAAGCAACGGATATTGTTAGAAAGAACTTCAGCACTCTTCATTTTCTTCAAGACTCTCACCATTCTATGGAACATCTTTGGCATATACACAAACCCAGGGTCTTTCAACCCCCAGTGGGTCTTACAGGCACAAATCCATTATCACAATATCCCAAACACAGGGAAAAAATTGTCAGGGGTAGCAGGGAAGGAGGTTTTTTATTTGTCTTTCTGTTATGGACTTCAAATTGAATCTGTCAGACAATATCCAGATTATCTGCTCAGCATGAAAACAAAGAATTATTTTTTTTTCTTTTTTCTTTCTTTTTTTTGATGAAAGCTGAGGTGTGTACTAATGTCTTGAGGGCTGAGAGTGTTTCAGATATCTATTACCATAAATTAGCTCTGAAATATTGGCAGCTGGCAGCCTGCCATTCTCTGATCTCCCTTCCCCAGTCTGCAGAACAAACACAGATGTGGACACTTTGTGCTCCCCCCTGGCCTGTGTGGGTTTGTGCCAGTGGATGTCTTGATGTGATATCTCAAGAGGAGGCTTCACTTGTTTGTTTGCACATTGATCCGTGCCCGAGTGAGAAATAACTCCAACAACCACCTTCTTATCAAGTGAAAGCATTGAAGTCTGACTTTCTGATACAAATATTCCGAGTGGGAGCTTTGGCAGTTGGAGTCCAAGCCCTGGTCTTCACCCTTTTGTTCCTTTTCAGCTCCTCCACTTTTTCCTTCCTTTCAGCACCTCTGAGTTGACATCCAGCCTACTTTGGTAGGGGGCATGGTGGGCAGTGAGGAAGATGTGTCCAGCCCTGAGCCCTTCAGTGGAAGGCATCCACTTTTCCTTGGGGATTTCAGCCACACACTCTCCCACTATCTCAGACTGCTCCAAGCTTTGTCCAACCTGGTCTGGGACACTGCCAGGGATCCAGGGGCAGCCACAGCTGCTCTGGGCACCCTGTGCCAGGGCCTCACACCCTCACAGGGAAGGGTTTACAATTTAAATGTGGGTCTCAGATTCAGTCAAAGAGAGAAACAAGAGTTTCTAGCCAGGCAGAAGCCTGGGAAAGAGTTGGAAAAGAATGTAAATAATTCTTTATCTCTCTTGTTGTTCACATTGTTTATAGTGAAGTTCTATCACTGTGCATCAAGCACTTTGCACCAATGGTCTGAGTTGTTTTCACTTCAGGATCCATGGAGTTGGACCTCATGAAGCTCTGTATAAAAGAGCAGGGTATTTGAATAAACTGGAGTTTTACTCTCACAGCCTTCTGATCAGAGTCTCTTCATTCCCATCCTGCCTCGACAGCGACATTTAAATCCAAACTGAGAAATGTGGCAGCACTTTACATCCACATTAAACTAAATTTTCCCTGGGGTAAAGGCCTTCTGAGAGGAGAGGGCAGGCATTGTGCCTAATGGTGCTGAGTGTTTGTGTGCCAGCAGCCAGCCTGGCTATCCTCCACACCACTGGGATCCGTGCAGTGAAGGTACATCGCCATCCTCTCCTCTGCGTGGGCACTCTGGGCTCCCCAGTCCCTGTCACCCATCAGGATGTATTATATCTGTGCTCACTAATTTCACAGCCTGTAAATTACAGGCATACCCTGTGTATCTTCATCTCATTAGAGAAGGTTAATTTAAGCAGACAATCAACAAAAATACAGAAAACTGGTTTGGAAAGAGGAGTTTGCTGTGTCTCTGACAGACAATGAATTCACAACCCCAACATCTGCCACCACTAGAGAGAAAATGCTGGAGGAAAAAAAAAAATAAAGGAACTCATTGCTATTTCCTCTGATGAATGGTGAATTTCCAATTAGCATTTTAATTACTCAAGCCAGACTTTCATCTGGTTTGATGATCACAAGAAATTCCATAAGCAACAAGTCGTCTTGGTTTGTCAACATGTGCTGGGGTAATGCAGAATGCACTTACAGGAGTTGGCCTGTGAGACTGTTTCTCTTCTGGAAAAATCCTACAGCATTAATTGTTCTCAAGTATTTCTTTATAGTTTTACATAGTTTTTATATGGTCTTACACTTTATATAGTTTTACACTTTTGTGTGTCCCAAGAAAAAACTATAAGACTGTTGTACCTGAGGTCTTTGGTATAAAAGATATAGATTTATTTCCTGGCAGATCCTACAGCAAATCCATCAATAGGACCCTAAACATCTCAACCTGTATCACTTGTCTGAACAAATCCTTCAGCAAATCCATCCTGTATAATTTCAGACACCTTTGTGTGTCCTTCACCTGAGCTAATCCTACAGCAAACTTGTCCCTGATGGGACTGATGGATGGGTCTGCAGAAGGTCTGGTGCTGATAACTGCCACCTTTCTGTTTGTAGAACCAAAAAACCAAAAAGGAGCGGGGCATTTTTTAAAGTTCCTGTGCAGTGTTAGGAAATTCTGTGTCTTCTGGTGAAGGAGAATGAGCAGGGATGTGGTTATCCCTGCAGCTGAGTACAACTTTGACTATCCCAAACTTTGCACAGCAACACCAGTGGCATGGGACACAGCCCTGCCACAAGCTGGCTCTTCCAGAAGGTCAAGGATGTCATTGCTAACAGAGAGGCTGACACAGGCTGCTCCTGTAATTCCAGGCCCTGGCTTGGGCACCTCGTGCTTTGCCTTGAGGGGGAAAGATGTGCTCAGCTTTGAACCCTCAGCTCGGTGCTGAAGAGCCACAATCCTGTCAATGAACTGGCATCAGCAAAGATCAGTCAAATCCTGCAGGTACTCAGAAAGGTCTTAGTCTCAGCTTTAAGACTTAAAATGGTTGATCTGGGGATTTGGATTATTCCAGTCCCTTGATCTGAATAGATCTGGAATTGATCAAGATGAGGATGGGCCCTTTGGGCCCTTGTAGACCATTGTTCTTCATTTTAATTGTCTGCTCACTTCAGTCATTTTTTTCTTCCATTTTGGTTTGCTGATGTTGGGTTTTTTCCTGTGAAGACTTCCTTTCCCTTCTATTTTTATGTGATTTCTCATTCTCTCTGGATGCCCATCACAGAGCAGCCTTCTATGGTGTAAAGCTACCTGCACATCACGGGTGTATATCCATCATCTGAAAATACCACCTTCTCTCCTTAGCAGTAATCAGGACTAAATCTGTTTACTTGAGAAAAAAATTACACATGGGGGGCAATCATTTATTCAGAGCAAAGAAAACCAAAACAACCAAGCCAGCAGTGCCCGTTTCATTAAGTGAACAAATGAGAGGTTTTTAAGTTCTTGGCAGTCTGATGGATAAAGGTACCTTGTCAGAAGGTCCCTCTAGATTGAGTTGCAAACAAAAGAGAGGAAAAGCTTGGGAGGAAAAGCAGATTTTGGTGTCAGAATGAGCAGATCTGACACACAGCTCTGGTTTCTGTGGTGTAGCTATCCATGGTGCTGCCAAGTGTGTGCCCAGACACCAACCTTGGATGGACATGGGGCCTCTTTCCTTTTCTTTTTCCAAGTGGTCTTGTCAAGTCAATCCTTCACTGCAGCTTTTCTTCTGACTTCCCACATCCTACTCCTGCATCCCATCCTTTCATCCTCAGTGAGGCTGACCAGACTAATTCCCTTCTTGCAGTATATTATTTATGCATTTTTGTTATTTTTCCCTCCAAGGTTCAAAGGCGGACATGGCTCTGTCACTTGGAGAAGCTCCTCAAGCACCAGCAGGGTAATGTAAATCCCACAGGGAAACACATCCTGCCCAGTGAAATGAGAGAAAAAAATTATAGAAATTATCTCTACCTCCCCTTTCCCCTTTCTGCTCCTGAAGCCTCACGTCCTCTATATCCTGTTTTTCCCTTTCCTTTGTGCAATTTCAGCCCTTGCCTCATCCCTCTCCAACTCACAACAGTCTGGTAGAATTTCACCAATGCAGGCAAGTGGAACACTTCACTTCCACTGCCTGAATGAGGCCAGGGCACAGAGGAGTTTATTATATCATAAATTAGAACATGAAAAGCTAATATATTTTATACATTTGTCATAGAGGGAGAGAGAGAGGAGGAAAAGCCTTTGCTGCCAGGTTCCTCACAGCAAATCTGTCATGCTGGAGAGAGGCTGCTGGAAGGGAAGTACTTACAGACAGACAGACAGAGCCCTGGTGCAGAATAGCAAAGCTCCTGCTGGATGCTCCAGGGCTGTGGCATGAACCAGGATGAAGTTTTCAAACCAAACCACACACAGCCCACCACAAGCACCTGGGCTCTTCTTGTATGAGGATAAAATGATGCCCCCATGGGGAAGCTGTCTGTGGCTGCGGGGGGCTTTGTGTGGCTGAGGAATTGGGGGGTGCTGCTGGTCTTTGTGTTGTGGGTCTCAATTTACCTGGTGCTGCTTTACAGAAAGTGTATGCAGAGATGGGCAATGGAGCTGGGGAAGGGTCTGGAGCCCCAGGAGAGGCTGAGGGAGCTGGGAAGGGGCTCAGCCTGGAGAAAAGGAGGCTCAGGGGAGACCTGGTGGCTCTGCACAGCTCCTGACAGGAGGGGACAGCCAGGGGGGCAGGCTCTGCTCCAGGAACAGGGACAGGACGAGAGGGAACAGCCTCAGGCTGGGTCAGGGGAGGCTCAGGGTGGACAGCAGCTGGAATTTCTTCACTGAAAGGATTTTCAGGCATTGGAACAGGCTGCCCAGAGTGGTGGGATCACCATCCCTGGAAGAGTTTAAAAGTCACGTAGATGTGGCATTTTGGAATGTGGTGATATTAACAATTGGACTCAGTGATCTTACAGGTCCTTTCCAACTTTAATCAAACTCTGATTCAAAGTCAGATCCAAGTAGATTAATACAGAGGAATTTTCTGGGAAAGCTGTTCTACCTGCCAGGCACACATCCCTGTGGCTTTCCTTCTCTATGTTCATTCCTAGGTGGATTGTCCCATTTTAATTGAGCTTTGGCCCAGTCCCACAGCACCCCCAGTCTCTGTGATGTTGCATTTCTGCTGCCTGGCAGATCCAGTAGCAATGGGTATCATATCTCTCCTTCCACAATCCAAAACTCAAGGCAGGAAGGCGTTTCCCAGACATCAACTCCCTTGAAACAGTTAGCAAGTCAGACTTTATTAAGACTAAGAACAGCAAAAAGCAATAATAATTAAAACTTAGATTTGCCTGCACAGATGAGGAAGTAGAAGGAGCTCATGCTGGCAGGAGCATGGTGTCTGAGGCTGGCATTCCCCACAGCCAGGTCCTTTCTCCACAAGGATTAAGCATGGGAGGTGGCAGTGATAGAGTCTGCAAGCATTTAGCTGAACTTACCCACAAAAGATGTTCCTCCAGGCTGAACTGTTCCTCAGGCAGCTGCTGAACTGACTGGAGAGGGAAATGCAATAGTTGTTGCTTTGGTTATTTCAGTCTTGACCGCCCCCAGGCCTCAGGACACAGCTGGAGGCACAGCTGGAGGCAGACCTGTGGGAATGTTGCTTTTGGCAGCATTAATCTCTGCGGGGTTAAAGGTGCACTGGGACACAGCACTGGTAGAAGAAATGGTGGAGGAACAGCCAAGGAAAACAGGAAAACCCTCTGATCTGCCACAGTGTCCTGACATCAGCTGAGAGCAGCACAGCCAGAGGGAGAGCATGCAGCAGTTCTTCCTCTGAATGCTCTTCCAAGCCCTGCAAAGCTACATGGCAGTGGTTCCTTGAGTTGTTGCCACCTCTGATCCTTCCTGGTGCTGTTTCCTTGGCTCCTGCCATGGCTGTGGGTGTCACTACATCACAATTCTCAGATCCATGCTGCTGCCACCCAGGTCTATTTGCTCTTCCTCTTTTTTTCACAGAAGAATTTTACTCTCTCCACCCTTCAAACTCATTTCTTTGTTCCTCTTCCCCAGCTCCTTTGCTCCATGTGGGAGAATAACCATTGGTAATCCTGAAATATGGGGCAGACACCAAAACACAGAGCTCAGAAGAGCAGGTGGAGCTGGGCTCCACCATGGCTCAGATCCACCTCTCTCCAGAGCTTTGCTTGGCCCCCAGCATTGTGTCCCATCTTCCTTGCCAGGGTAGCATTTCAGGCACTCACAGAAGCTGTCAGACAAAACACTCCAGATTAATCCCACTCTCTTCCTCTCTCTTTTTAGAAACTTTTAATTAGTCCCCAATTCAGCACCATTATTACTATTTGTTATTAAGTATTAAAACTGCTCACCCCCAGCTCCTTCTCCCTCTGCTTCCTTCTTCCAGCCCTTTGTTTTAATTGTTATATTTTTTCATCAGTGATCAGCCAAGCTTCCCTAATGATCTAGGCTCATTTAAAGGGTTTATAACTCCGGCACAAAACTCCAATAAAAAAGCGGCAGCCTTGCTGGGAACCTCCTGGGGCTACTCAGCAGCCAGGAACACAAACTCATTTAACACTTGCCTGTTCCCCTCTTTTCTTAGTCACCATCACGCATCCTGTCAAGATATCTTCCTCTGCACGCAAAGAAACCCTTCATTTTTCCTTTTCCGCATCTTTCCTTCTCAATTCTTTTTCCCTACGGATCGAGACAGGAGATCTGGAAACATCCTTGATTAGGCATGTGGTGGAGTTAATAGCAAATAGACCAAGCCCATTGTTCCTCCCTGCCGATGCTGCATCCCTGTCCCCTCTCAAGAGGAAAAACACAAAGAGTTGTAGCGAGGCTGAGGAAAGAAATGATCTGGCTGTATTTCTCCTGAAGTATATTTAGCAGTTGCAAGTTACCCCTCTAGAGAGCTTAAAAGCCTCTTTTACAAATCTGCAAGTTGGCAGTGCCTTTCCCTCCTTGCTCTTCTCCCTTAGCAAGAGGTGTAGATTTACACACCGTAGGCAAAGGGCTGCTTGGCAAACTCTCAGAGTCTTGGCCCAGCTTCCCATCGAGTACAGATGTTGCTTCCAAACCTGTCTTTAGCCTTGTGCACAGCCAGCAGGAAATTTGTGGGGATCCAGGCAGGAGGAGGAGTGCAAGCTGTTCTCCAGGAACAGAGAGCATGACCTAGACTAAGGTAGGCTCTACTGTGACCTACTGGGCTTCTTGCCCATGGCCTTGGGCACTGGGCCACTAGCCAGGGTGAGGGGCAAGCCAGGGGAACACAGTGACCTCCTTGTACCAAGCGTTTTGTGGGAAACCTCACAAAAGCTATTCCATCTCTATTTACACACAAAACCCTTCTGAGCTGAGGAGGAAAGAAGGGAGTGTGAGTGGTAAAAAGGAAATTGGTACAGCAAGGCACAGGGCAGATTTATGTCACCTGCCTTTAGCCATCTGCCATGTGGGTACTTCCATCTGAGCTGTCGCTCTTCCTGGAAATGCCATAGGGAAAATAAACACTTTTAACACCATGGTTACCCTGCCCTTGTAAACTAGTGGAAAATTGACCTTTTTATACTGAAAAGACCCCCAGTCTTCCAAAAGCCATCCACTTCAAAATTGTGGAGCAAACTATGCCATTAAATGTTCTTGCTTTGAAGTCACTATTGCTCCCAGGACAACATCACACCTGCAATGACCATGGGAGCCACAATTGCATTGATACACTTTACAAGCAGCCTTTTGTTCTCTCTTGAAAGGAACTCAGCTGAAAGGCCCAGCAATGTGTTCAGTCATCTTCAAAAAGCCAGAATCATTTGGTGGGAATAAACAGTCAGAGCTCCTCAGTCAGTCATTTGAAAAGGACAGCTTCCCAAGGAACTTCAGCTTGTCTAGCTGCTGGGCTCCTTTGGGAGATGATTTCTGGAGCTGGTTGAGCTGCTTTGACACATATTTATCATCAGCAGTTTGAGTTTTGGGGAGAGAGAGGAATAGCAAGAGAAACAAATCGATCCATTGAAATATTTCATGAAAGGTGGGAAAAAATCATAAGGTTTTGGGGTATTAATAGTATTCGGTTCTCAACTTGGGCTGAGAGGGCAGCACAGTAAGTAGGGTCTGTGGAGGATGCCTGCAATTAGAGACCTTGGTGATACAGAGCTGTCTTCTCCTTGTTTCCAGCTGCTACATTTAATTAAAAGAAAGCTAAACAATCCATTACATTAAATTACTTTCTGCACATTATTTTTCCACATAGACAACCGAAATGGTTGCCACAGGGATGCTATCTGACCGCAGGCTGGAAAGGAGATAAACCATTCTCAAAATTATTCTATCCTTGCTTGAAATATCACCCCAACGACCTGGTCAGGAGCCATTCCTGACTGTGTGAGGACCTACAAAACTGGTGGGGATTCACCAGGAATGTGAGAGGCATTAATGGACTGCAATCCCAGCCTCATCTTGCTTATTCCTGCCTCATGTCACAAGATAAGGATGCCAAAGCACTCTAATGTTGTGGCAAAAAAAAGGGCTTCTTTCATGTTTCTTCTCTGTACTCTCTGTCACCTTCAGCCCGGAATCGGCAGTAAATAAAATCACACCATGAGTTAGTCTCTACCTCAGCTGCTTCTTCAGAGTTTCTAAGCAGTACCAAACAGTCCATATACCTTGTTTCACCTTCTAACTCAAATAGTCCTTCGATATTAGAAGTCAAGTATGCCAGGGATATATTGAAATATCTTATGGAAATTGAATTTGTAGGAAAACTCCTTGGCCCTGTGGGCTTTTTGTTTTCCTTTCAATTCTTGTCAAAGGATAAAACAATGTTTGAAATCTTCCTCAGTAACTCATTAGGCCACAGAGCAGATTTTGCCTCCTGGAGAGGAGCTCCCTAGGAGCACAGCCCAAGTCCAGGCTGCAGCAGGGAAGGAGATGCTGGTTAAAGCCTGGCCCTGACAGCCTCTGTGTGCTGCACCAAGCCCCTGCCTTGTCAGAATCTGAGGTATTGATGATCCTGAGATTGTAGAAAGTCACTGTCTCTCAGCCCCACTGCCAAAGCAGAAGCCATAATTGGTCTGTGCTGGTTTCCAGGTTGTTTATTCTGTTTATCTCTCACATGTTCTGCTGC